CCCTTCCTTTTCACTCTTTTATCTCACAGTCAACAGGAATCTAGCTTCAAGTATTTTTAATCAGGTATGTGCACATTGTTTAAGAAGGAAAATCTGTTTGAAAGAACTTCATACACTTTCGCTCTTCTTTCCATGTAAGATGCAAGTGTGTCAATGATGGTGTGGTATGTGGTTATGTAAAATGGTCTCTGGCACTCAAAACTTCTGGAGCACTGCAATCATTTATTTGTTTCTTTCTAAAGCTTCTGTGACAGAGAACTGGATCATATTTGGCAGTGTTTTTTTTGTTGTTTTTCAAATTTTGTAAAATCTCTTAAATTATGTAAATACTGTGTTAATGACTAGTAGAGATCTGTGCATGTCTTTAAATTTAATTCTAAATCATGTAGCCTTTGACTCATCTTATGAAAATGCTGCAATATACTATTCTACAAAAATACATAGTCTATTGTTTACATTTTGTTGGTGATATTTTCAGGCTCTTTTTTAGCATCTGCTTTCTATGTCTGGTTTTCTGCAATATTTTCTAAGGCATCTAGAACCTATGTGTACAATTCAAAGATTGCACTCTTTCTTACAGATGTTCTTCCCAACGTATATTGGAAAGGCATTTTAAGGAAAGGCATTGCCTAATATGTTTTAAGGATTGTCCATTTGTGAGAAGAGGAGGCAAAACATGAGTAGAGTAATTGACAGTAGGAAAAAATAGCTGCTTACAGACAATAGTCTGTATTATGTCCTAAAGATTAAGTAAATTGCATGGCACATGGTATAAAAATGGCATATTCATTATGTTCTAAAATTTCTGTTGCATACATTTATAATGTCCTGACATATTGTTAGCATTATCATAGAATTTTTTTTTTGTACTTAGAAAAAATAACTTTTCAAACTTCATATAAATTGTGAAGTAGTTGATTTGCAATTTTTTTCCAACAAGTATTACTTTTTCGGCTAATAATATCAATCAATAGGTTTTCCATCTGAGGCAGACATGTATTTTAAAACATACTAAGCTCTGGTAGCGCAGTGGTTACGAATCCGGCTGCGAACCTTAAGGTTAGCGGTTCGAAACTACCAGCCGCTCCGCGGGAGAAAGATGAGGCTTTCTACTCCCGTAAAGATTTACACCCTCGGAAACCCTGTACAGGGTCGCTATGGGTCGGAACCGACTCGACGGCACTTAAGAACAACAACAACAAGCTCATTTATATGAGAATAATCAGGAGTGGAATAAATAGACAAATTGAAATATCAAGCTATACTTGATATATTTCACTAAAATATTTTATTGAACTTTATTACTTATTAAGATAATTAATTCTTCACACGTTGTTTTAGTAATATACTATAGGTTGTCATTTCTGGCGTTATATTTTGAGCTGTGACCTCCTAAAAATGGATCGAACTGAGTAACAAGTTAAATAAACCCAAACATTTTCATTTTGTGAGAACCCAAACATTCCATTTCTTCCTCAAAGATGGTTCACGTTCAGTGATTGTTATCGTGTCAACAAAACATTACAAAATAGCTTTCCAATATTGATGTTCTTAATTTGGTTTCCAGTTCATGAGCTAAACCAAAACCATTTATTTGGCTTAAATATGACAACATGCAATTTGTAAGTTGAACTTTTTTCATCTCATTTGAATTGCAACAATCACTAAATCCATCTGTAGCATATTGAGAATGAAATGATTTAGGACTGAATAGTTTGCAAACAAAACAGTATACAAAGCCGACTGATGGAGTAGCCACTCCTTATAAATTGCACCACCAATTTAGACTTGAGAAACACATCCGAGCTACAGAATCTTGTTTACCATCCAGAAACTTTTGACATGAATTTTCAAATGGTCCACTATGTTGACAATCATTTGGACCTCTTTTGATCCTATAATTTACACCACCAGAAGAAAAAGTATTCCACAAAGCAGAATCTATATTTCTGTTATTTATGGGGTCTGCAGATTTGACAAATTCATATTCTAAAAGTTTTACTTTCTACATCATTATTCTTGTTTTGCATTCCATTTAGTTGCTGCCATTTCCGTAGTGGTTACGAATCGGGCTGCGAACCTTAAGGTCAGCGGTTCGAAACTACCAGCCACTCCGCGGGAGAAAGATGAGGCTTTCTACTCCCGTAAGGATTTACACCCTCGGAAACCCTGTACAGGGTCGCTATGGGTCGGACCCGACTCGATGGCACTTAACAACAACAACAACATTTCCATTTACTTTAAAATTTTGCTTCTACCATAGTAATAAATTTGAAAAGTTGAAAATAAATAAAATTTATCAAACAAATAAAGCTTATCAAATAAAATATTTACATTTGAATTTGGCTGCCAACACAAAAATTTGTATTTGCAAATTGGTAAGCAAAAATAAGGATTTGGAATATGAAATTCTGTTTTTCAAGTCTGAGGTAGTCAAAAGAAATAATACTTACAGGGCAGTTGAAAATAATTTCATTTATTTGTCATAAGATGTTTGTTGGTGGCCAATTCACAGATCTTGTGTTTTTGATCTTGAAATAATACTTTAAAACTTGCACATTCACTTTTATTGTTAGACACTATATCTTCACATTTCATTGAATACTGTTGATAGCCAATGGGGGCAATTGTTATTGTAAAGAGCATGATACAAGTACAAGGGTAAGCTCAATGTGAAGACAAGTTTTGGTTTGCTTTACACAAGACGGAATTGAATGTGTCACAAGTCACGTAATTATAGTGCTACTGGTATGTTCTTATGTGGTCAACAAGAAAGAAGTGAATACAAGCGTGTTAGACTCAATCAGTCTGAAATGAAAAGGAAAATATAATTGTTATTATATACAAAATTTATAAAATGCATATTGTATTTGTGGAATTGTTCAATTCCCATATTTGGAGATACATACATAATTGATGTAACAATAGCACCTCTTCTTGATGAGTACGTTTGTTTTGTGAGTCATAAAAATATCAATTTTTTTTTTTAAAGAAAGGCACGCTGAAGGGAAATGGAAAATAAAATGCATAACTGTACATCAATGATATACAGTTTAAAATTAACTTGATTGAACTCATTGCAATGGTTGACTTACCCTCCCTTGCTGTATGGGACTGGAGTTCCCATTGGTTGTTTACCAGGACGTGTGCAACAGCATACCACTCTGATGTATCATGGCAAAGAGGATGGCTGGCTCTCCTGACTGGAGTTACTGGATCAGCAGATGTGGATGTACAAGACAGTTCTTTCAAAATGAATCAGAGACCTGTTATCTAATAATATCATCTATCTTTGCTCAGTAATTGTTCATGTTGGATCCAGCTGATATTGGGTGAAGGTAGTAAGAGTTATACTCAACAGTTCACCCCCACCTCTTGTTTATTAGAAAGAAATAATATACTTTCAAAAGACCCACTGAGATAAGGAGTTTCAATTACAGAGGAGAGGACATAGGAAACAGATGTCAATGAAGGTGTTGAAGTGGTTTGGTGTTAAGTGCCTTTGAGTCCCTTCCTTGAGGTAGGGAACTCATAGTTCAAACTCATAGTTTTTAAGTGGACTCCCTCTTGACCCTGTGTGAACTTTATTTCCTGCTGGCACATTCACATGCACTGGAACTGGTATCAATTCATTTAGTGCTCTGCCAGTTCCATTCCACTACAGGTTTGGTTTTCCTTTTGTTCTGTTAGGCATCTTTGCTTTGGACAACTGGTGTCCCTGTTTTGGTGATGTCCAAGACACACTCTTACCTTGCTTATTGGGTAATCCATCCCTGTCTGAAGGCCTCATTCTACAATGCAGCCTGCCAAAAGTTCCTTGCCTCCCATCTCTTTTCTTCCTGTAAGTCTGTTTACCCTTCCAGTGTACTCTTAATTCCAGTGGGCTTAGTTAAAACAATATATAAAATGTCCCTGAAGTTATTCCTCATATGGATATCATGCAAATCACTGACCTCATGCAGCCTAATGTTTTAGGCAGCTGCATGTCATTGCCAAGATTCTAGAAGGTAAAGGCTGTCCTATAATGGATTCCCCCTACCCCCACCCTCAAAAAGTATCAAGAAAAAAGAAAGCAAGGAAAAACTGCTCTTAAGTTCTTTAGGCTCAGAAAATGAAAGCTGGACAAGAAATTTTCTGTGGTTTATGACAGTAGTTGAATAAACAAATTAGGGCGTCAGTTGGCAGAGTGGGAGATGCAAAGCAGGAAACTGTAACTTCAGGAGGTTTTATATTTTTCCCAGTATGGACGGAAAGATCTTAGTCTAGGCAAGAATTTGGAATTAGACAAGAAATCGCATCAGACTCCACTTAATTGTGTGACGTTGGGTAAGTCATCTAATCCGTCAAAGCTTTCTTTTACTAAAGTGCAAAGTGGGGAATATACTTCGCAAGACTGCATAGAAGATGGTGGTGGGGGTGTTCCCCTGAGTGGATTCCGACTCACGGAGACCCTGCATAGGGTTTCCGAGGCTGTATGGGAGCAGAAAGGCTCATCTTTCTCCCGCAGAAAGGCTGGTAGTTTGGAACTGCTGAATTTGGAGTTAGCAGCCCGCCTCATAACCATTGCGCAACCAGAGCTCCTGTAAGAGTGATAAAAGCACGTGAAATCTCCTTAGTAAAGCGATCATTAAATGTCAGTTGTTTTTGCCGCTTTTCAAAATGGGTCGTTCCAAAATTCAGGGAACTTTGTTTTCTTCAGTTTAAAAGCCCTTGGCTGTAAAATGTTGAGAAGAAGCAACACCTTCACAGCTGAAAAACAAACCGCTTTAAACTTTAGATAGGCTAAATACGCTTAACTAGTGGCGGGACCCGCTTTGAAAGCACCCCCACCCGATTCCCACTCCAGTGTATTGTGGGAAGTGTAGTCTCTTACTATATTAACACGAGTACTTAAACGAAGGTAGAAAACTACAAGTCCCAAGAGTAGAAGAAGCGGGACTATTTCCCTGTCGGGAGGTAGCGCTGTGGGAGGGAATTGGCAATCTTTCTGCCTACGTGGGAGAGAAGGGAGGGTTGGGGGAAGCGTGGACAACCTGAACCTGAGCCATTGCCGCCCGGGGAAGGTTTGGTGGGAGGAGAAGTAGAGGAGAAGACACGGGTGGAGGGTGAGGTGAGGAAGACATCTAGGTCGTTGCTCCTGAGCGGCACAAACTTCTTGACGATGTGGCTGAAGCCTGAGGAAGTGCTCCTGAAAAATGCGCTGAAGCTGTGGCTGATGGAAAGGTCCAACGACTACTTCGTGCTGCAGCGGCGTCGGGGCTACGGGGAGGACGGCGGAGGGGGGCTCACAGGTAAGCTGTGGCCACCCACACCTGCCGAAGGGCCGTTTTAGTTCACCTTGACTTAAAGGGTGGGAAGGAAAACAGTTACTCGTGGTCACCCACCTCCTGACCCTAAACCCTGGGAGGAGGACTTCTCCTGCCACCACCTTTTCCGTTGCCCTCATCTAGTCTTAAGAACGCCTCATTGGACAGCAGTTGCTCTTTGGGTGGGACGGGGAGAGGAAAGGGGATTCTCTCTGAGGCAAAGGAAGAATTGGGTGCCTGCCCTCTCGCTTCCTCTGGTGGGCAAGAAGTAGTGATTAGTGTTAGACCCCGACCGGTCTTATTTAGGCTCGTAACAGGGGCCGGTTCACAGTTTTGGGCAAAACTTTTTTTAAAAAAACAAAACAAGAACAAAAACAACAGTGATATAACCACCACCTTGGGAAGTGTAAGAGTATGGGGGGGGGCAGAATGTGAAGAAAACGGAGGATCACTAATCAAATCCTGAGAGATAGGCTCCAAATGAGAAATTGGGGGGTGAGGGGATGTGTGTGTGTGTGTGTGTGTGTTGGGGGCGGGGGGGAGTCAGAATTGCTGACTTCTCCCAGTTCAGCATCTTTAACTTGGTTTCCAAGTTTTTCAGCCTTTGAGATCCCCTCTGAGAAGTCGATTACAACGTCAGAATTCCTTTCTCTACTGAGCATTTGGCGCTGCCCCTCCTTTCAAAGCCCTAATTCTAAACAAAACCAGTCAAAGAAATGGGTAGTTTCATTCTTCCTGCCTAGCCTAGCCTGCTCTCAATTTTTATATTTAAAAAACAAGAATTGATTCTTGGCTAAGTGTTAAAGTCAGTGGTTATTTTGAGATCATTTGTCTTGGGAGGGCCATCCAAACTTCAGGACGTTAGGGTGACAAGAGCTCATTTTCATGGCAATTGTCTAGTTTGATGTGGCCTTGCAAAGGTGGAGCAGGCTTAATTTAGGCAGCGTGAAGAAGTGGCGTCACTAGGGGGATGCTGGCGGCACCCGACGACACTGTTGGGGTGACACCAAAATAACTGTCTATAAAAATTGTTGGCAGTGTTTCAGCAGAAATTTGTTTTGTATAAAAATATCCCTGTAGTTAATTATGGTAACCCAAAATATTTTTTCGTAAGCCTACCTTACTTGTATCTGTAGACCTACAAGGCTAATTTACTTTTTTGACCCTTTTAATGCCCTCCATGGAGTTCTGGTGTGGGGCTATAGGATAAGACTGTTAGCTGCAAGGACAGAGCTGGAAACCCACAGCTGCCCCACCTTACTATGAGTCAGACCGACTTAAGGCACTCAACTCTTACCAGAACATGCTCCATCAGAACCATCATTGTTACCCAATTACAGTGATACTCCCAATCACTTGGTTCCATCTCCATGCGTTAATAGCGCACAATTGTTTTGGGCGTTTTTTATAGTCGCCAATTTTGTCAATTTTCTGGTGTTTTAGCTCCAGTATTGTGATAAGTAGTAGTTGTGAACCTGTAGCAATAGCTTATTTTATTTTATTTATTTATTTTTTAGAATGAAGGCGTAATTAAAGGAAAAGGAGAAAAATCCAAAAATGGGCTTCCTTCAGTTCTGATACTAATGATGTTGCCATTCAATGTGGAAAGATTTTTTTTTAAGAAGCAATGTTGTTGTTAGTATTTACATTATCTAAGAAATATTAATTTGAAGCAATTTAGAACTATATTTATCACACATTATGCTATAACTAAAATTGATAAACATTACTAAGGATTCTGTATGGTATGATATAGGAAGAGGCCATGTATGGGGGAGGGAGGGGTGACATCATGAGTTAGCAAACTAGGTGACAGCAACCCTAGTGATGCCGCTGTCATGAAGTACTGGGAAGAGGGGTGAGTCTGAAAACCCATATTGTAGTCCTATACATACCAATTACCTACTAGATGACATTCTATAAATTTTCCTTTTAAGCACCAAGGAGCTCTGGTAGCTTAGTGGTTACGAATCGGGCTGCAAACCGCATGGTCAGCAGTTCGAAACTACCGCTCTTCCGTGGAAGAAAGATGAGGCTTTCTGCTACCGTAAAGATTTACAACCTTGGAAACCTTGTACAGGGTCGCTATGAGTCGGAACCGACTCCATGGCACACAACCAACCAACCAATGTGCTACATGGAGCTGTAGGATGAATACTGGACTGCTAACTACAAGGTCAGCAGTTCAAACCAACCAGCCGCTCCTCAGAAGCCCTAAACAGGGTCACCATGAATTGGAACCAACTCCATGGCACTTAACAACAACAGGTGCCACATGGGTACAATTAAGATTCCATTCCTTGCCCTTTAAGCGCTCCTAATCGGAACAATCTGGAGAGGTGGATGAGGTGGCATGGAGACAGCAGAAGATCAACTAGTACACCAGGCAGGCAACTTGTGATTAGAACCAAAGGCCTAGAAGTTGGGTAAAGCTTCATGAAGGGGTTGATAACTGCTTTTCTGCTTCTGTAAAGTGATGCTTATCTCACAGAGTTGTGAGGATAAAATGAAGGATGCTGTTATTGTCATTAAGCAGGTTCTGACTCATAGCGACCCTGTGTAGGATTTTCGAGGATCAGCTGGTGGGTTTGAACCACTGACCTTGTGGTTCGCAGTCCAATGCTTAATTCTATAGCGCCATACCAAGAATAAAAAATGAGAGATGGTGGTGGTGGTAGTCTGCTGTGGAGTCAGTTCCAACTCAGTAGCGACCCTGAATAGGGTTTCCGAGGCTGTAAATATTTACAGGAGCAGAAAGCCTCATCTTTCTCCTGCGGAGCAGCTGGTAGTTTCTAATTGCTGACCTTGAGGTTAGCAGCCTGATTCGTAACCACTACGCTACCAGAAATCCTTAAAATGAAAGATTTGTTGTTATTGTCGTTAAGTGCTGTGGAGTCGGTTCCAACCCATAGCAACCCTGTGTAGGGTTTCGAGTAGCGGCTGGTAAGCTTGAACCGCTGACCTTGTGGTTCAGACCGACTTTGCAGTCCAGTGCATGAACCCGCAGCACCACACAAAGGTGCCAAATCAGTGTATTTTAAGATGGTATAATAAACATGTGCTGTGATTTTCCTCTTTTAAGGAGTCCTGGTGTGGTGCTGTAGGATAAGCACTGGTCCACAAGGTCTGTGGTTCAAACGGCTAAGTTCGGCTGTTCAAACTCACCTGCCGCTCCTTGGAAACCCTATACAGGGTTGCTATGTGTTGCAACCGACTTGATGGCACTTAACAACAGGGTGGAGAGAATTCTTTGGTTCCACAGTAACGCTTTTTTTTCTTTTAATTTCCCTCCCCAATGCCCTTGCAAACTATGTTCATTTGTCCACTTTCTCAAAAGACTTTGAAAATATGGTAACAAAATTTGACTCATTAAAATTGACATTTGGTCAATTTTCTGATTTTGAAACATTAGAAATTTTTTGTGCAAAGGATTCTTTCCATTTAATAGATGCAAATATTTTTTAGTTTAAAATGGAGAACTGCTTTTCATAATAGCCAAGTAATCTAAACTATCCACTTGAGTCCATTGAGCATAGGTCAGAATATATTTTAAATAGCTCATAAAGTGCTGTGTTATAGTCTCAGAAATAGTCTTCTAATATATTTTGGTTCTCTGTCATTTTTCTTGACTAGTGTATTTCACTTCGTATAATTCTGTTCCTGAAAAATCATAAGTAAATAAAAATCTTGCAAATCAAATCACTGTAATGTAGTCTAAAATGATCTTTGACCTGTTGCAAGTTTCCTTTAAGTCATCACTCCCTGTTTTCTCATCACTCCCTGTTTTCTCTGATTTATTTTTCATTAAACAGACTTTCTTAAAGCTTGGGCCAATTACATTAGTTTTCTCATCTCTATCCCACTAACTCCCATTTTCTGTTCCCACATATCCCTAAAATAAGAGGAAATTCTATCACCCATGTATGTTGTGTGTAGCCATAGCCCCATTTTTGTACTTCCCAGTCAATTATATTTTTGCATGATTATTTTCCTCGTGGTATTGTCAAAATGCTTAAAATTATCACATGAGACCTGCCACTAAGTTCCATGCAAATTAAACAGAAATGATAAGAATAGAGCAAAAAGATGCTTTTGAAGTTTGTTCAGTTCTTTTGGGTCCAGAGCAAAAGTGTATGCTGATTTTCATGCCTGCTCAATTACTGTATTCTTTCTTAAAATTGTGAAGCCAAGAGCTTTGGTATGCTTTACCACAAATCCAGATTTAGATTTGTTCTCCCAAGAGCTTGAACGTGGGCCAGCTTAGCTTGCCTTGGTTCATTTTGTGCTATCCCTTTAAAAGATTAGTTTATACATTTTGTGTAATGAAGAAGAGATAATGACCATCTAGAAATGTTAATAACTGTACTTTAAGATTTTATTTCTTTGCCATGTGATAATTGGCAATAACAACCAGCAATGTAATGACTTTAAATGGGGACTTAGTGAAGTTAGTTGGCTACGATTTTTTTTTTCTTCTTCTTCTTCTTAAAATGGAATTGATACAACATAAGCCTAGGTTGGTTAAAGAAATAGACTGGTTTGGAAGTTACAATTATGATGTCCTTTTCTAAATTTATGAAACTGGCTATCTGGTACACTACTTAACTATTTGCCTAATTCTATCTGTAAGATAAACTTATTCTGATTCACAATAAGGTGGACTGTCTTTGTGGGCATTTTTGTTAATACGTAAAGGTTTTTTCAAGAAAAAACTGATTTTCCATCATTTAGAGAAGTCATTTCACCCTTCTGGGTTCTTGAAGTTACTTACATTATCCCTTGCTCTTCCTGCAAAAGGTAATGACTTTTCTCTAGCACCTAAATTTAGCACCTGGTTTTATATAATTAAAAATAATTTGTGTATATTTGGCTTATTATGCGAGAATCAACAATTTGTTCTGCGTGGCAGATGGGAACTACTACATGGGTGGCATTATGGAACTACATTCTCCTAAGTATTCTAGTATATGGGATTTAGCAAGATC